TCGTTGTTCTAACCAAAGAGTGAGAAAGGCATAGGAAACAGCAGTGAGGCTGTACCAATGCAGTCTTTAAAAAAAAGTCCCTACTAGTAGAAAAGCCAGCCCCTGGGGATAAGGGAGGCCTGTGAATGGCAGACAGTGAATGGGAATACATACAGGGCAGCCTGCCATTGGCCCAGCAACTTCTCAGAGCTTGGTGAACAAAATGCAGCATTCAAAAGTGCTACCCAGAGCTGGGTGAAGTGGGTCTGGCTACCAGGCTTCGTGGTCAGAGAGGCTGGCCAGGGCCAGCAGAAGGTGGGACCAGTGGGGTAGCCTTCTGAACATGAACATGGACACATGCTGGCTGCAGGAGACTACAAACATACAGAAGGTCACAGGGAACATACTGGAGCTGCAGTGGGACTGAATGGCCCAAACTGAACTGGCACGGTATTCTGTTAGAAAACAATTTTGTGTATCTTCTCTAAGAGGGATGATACAGAATGAAGCAGTCTTAGATAAGGCGAGAACCGGAAGACGGGATGCTAGGTCACAGGTCACAGAACAGAGATTAGAGGATTCTTTAAGAAACCTTTGAAGGGATTCAATCTGGAACCTTACAATAACATCAGAGAGGGTGGTTCCAGATTCGAGAAATCCACAGGATTATCGAGAATTCCAATGGCAACCCACGGAGGTACACTATGTTGAGTTAAGAATCCAGATTCTACTTATTGATGCTGCCTTAGAACAATGTCATATAATACATTATGCATTTCGTTTGCAGAGTTTGGAGAATTACGATTTGTACGTTGTGTTGGTGCATGTTCAGAATTCTGGTGGGCTTTTGAACTCTGAAAAAGATGGATCTGAGACCTCACACTTATTAGAGATGGTGACTGTCTTGGAAATGCCTTTACAGACTGAAGCTGATGATGCTTCCACATACGTATCCATTAAAATGCAACAACACTTTAGACATTATAGCACAAAACTTGTTACAGATGTAGCTTACATTCCTACAGGTCAAGCAGTTATGGAAAGATACAATAAGACTTTAAAGGAATTGCTCCTAGAACCGAAGGGGGGGTCAGGGCAGATATGATATCTCCTAGAGATAGATTAAACAGTGATTTGTTGATTTTAAATTTTTTGAATGTCACTGAGAGAGAGAACACAGCTTCTGAAATACAGCGTTGTTTAGAAAGGACTGATGAATCAGATCAGCCTATATATGTAATAACCTCAAAATGGAGGGCAAAAAAAGATATGTGGTGTTGGGGAGGAAAGTTTGTATTTGTTTCAACAGGAATAGAAAAGCTGTGTATTGTATCCAAATTGTTGGAAATCAGATACGACTGGAGGAGACCCCCTGAGGGTCTGGCTGCAGACAGAAAGGAAAAAAAAAATCAAGAGAAGGAACAAGACAGGCAAAGTATATGCTGATCCTCCTATGTGGCAATGCCTCTGAGACTGGCTGAGACGTGAAAATGTCTCCAGCCAGAACTTCAGCTAAGCATACTCAGAAAATCTTGTTGGCTACAGAATTCTCAAGACGTATCCTGTTATCCTTTCAAATGGCATAGATAGAGCATTCAGTTAAAGTTTGGTTGTGCAATCCAAACTAACTTTTAAAGAAAGACGGATGCCTTATCTGCTTGAACAGAGAGAGCAGAGAATCATCTTTAACTCAGTTGTTCACACTGCACATTCCATAGTTACATTAATGCAGAAATGTATAACACCTTTTAAAGTTTATATGTTCACAGAAGAAAAACAACCAGAAAAGCAGCCCTGACAAGATTCACCTTGAGGATCTGAGAAGGATGCTGAGGCACTGAGACATAGTTATTCCAGCATCCTGCTTGATCTAACCTCACACTGTCTCAATAGCTGTTTCATCAAAGCCTGTTTCCAGGACAGCTTGAAAGAAAACAGCATCACAGACTGTTCCAGTCAAGAATCCAGTTAAGCTCTGAACTTTCTTAACATTAAGAGACTGGACAACAAATGATACAGCTAGCTTTCTTAAGACTGACCAATATACCAGTTTCTTAGGCCCCCTCAAAGGAAAAAGATATCCCAAGATAAACAAGAATCTATTTTAGAGATCTATGCCCCATTCCCAAGAGGTGGGATAGATAATTTTTGGTCGTTTAATGTATGGTGGATGTTTGTTGTCATTTAAGGGGGATGGTTACAAGTTTTTATGGCATTGGAGAGGGCAGAAACAAAATTGGGGAGGTTAGATTAAGAGGTTTATTTTTATCTTTCCTTTTCTTTCCTCTATCTTTCCTGTCCAGTGTTAGGAGGAAAGAGGGTGGGAAATAAAAAGAAAAAGGTAGAATACAGAGATAATACAGGAATAATAGAAATAAAGGCAGATTTTTAACTCTATCTTTAAACTATAGGGCTACAACTAGCCAAAAATCTTACATTGGTATAGACCTTTGCATTGTGATACAAAATTAAGATTATATTTGGATACATCATACTATGTATTAACTCATTTTAAGGTATTGTACCTATGTAATTCTTAAAAATGCAACATCAACTTCTAATCCTTTTGAAAGCAGCTATTACAAACTGTTTAGGATCATTAGGAAATGAAAATTAATAGTTAATCAAACTTATAGTCATGTTAGGTACTACTCTAATTTATTACAGAAATATGTTTCCTAGGTTGAACAGATAGTAAATAGCAAGAAACAAGCAACATTTACCTATTCAAATATGCTGTAGATAGACAGATGGTCTTCAAAAATCTCAGAGACTCACAGAATATGGCATTTAAAGATGTTTTATTGATAAAGTCCTTTTATTGACAATGAGATAGATCTGCTCCTGGCAGCACCTCAATTCTATGTCAAGAAAGATGATGAGCACTGAAGAACCTCCAGGTGGAGTTTGCTTCATATGTGGAGAACTAGCCACTGGGAAAGAAACTGCCCTTGCTGCAACTGCTGTCCAAACTGGACAAATGAGATATAGGGAAGGCAACTGCCAAGCTCTGCCAGTACAGGGTAAGCAGTCCTTCACATTTCCTACTTCACAAAAAGGTCTGCCAGATAGTCTCAGCCAGAAGACTAAAGATGGATGCTCCAGTGTTATAGAGGAAACTGAGGTAGGGGTGGGAGTGGGGGTGGGGGAGGTGTTCAGGAAGCCATCCTTGCCTGTCATTTCTATAGTTTTGGAAACTGCTTGCACTGCAATTCCTACATGCTCAGGTAATATTTATTCCTTCTCAGGCCTCTGATGAGGTTGAAGACTAGATAGACTCTCACAAGCTTGCATTGTGTAGGGTTTAAGAAGATATTTTTAAGTCTAAGAAGATGTTTTAGGTTGGTAATGCAAGTTGTGATAGAAATTGATTAAGTACAGAACTCTGAAATTGTCAATATAGGATAGATAGTAGAATACGTTCTCCAAGCTTGCCACTTACTTATGGTATGGAATGGAGTTTGTCAATGTAAATCTGACCTGATGGTTTTCATAATTATTCTTATTGCCTATAATTTATAAATGCCAGAGAAAGAAACTTTTATTGGATCAAAAGGAGGGAATGTAGAGATCTCTTGTGCAAGGAGGCTTCACCTGTCAATAAAAAAGTCAATGAGCTGAGACAAGATTAAAAAGTGGGACATATGGCAGAGAGAGAAGATTCTGGGAGATAGTTAGGTGCAGGAGATTCTCCCCAGATACAGAAAAAGATGGTCACATGAAACTGAGGTAACCAGCCATGTGGCATGACTTAGACAAGAATAAATGGGTGATTAAGTTGTAAGCTAGTGTGGGAACAAGCAAAGCTTTTGGCCTAGGAATTTATTCACATATTATTTATTCAAATAAATATTAATTATAATATAAGCTATAATATAATAATAATTAATATTTATTCAAATATTAAGTGTCAGAGTCATTATTTCTGGGAGCAAAGTGGTCAGATAGAAAAACACAAGGTTACAGATGGTTTTAACTAAAACCTTTGAGCCATCATAAATTCAAGAAATGCTTATAATATTTTTTTGAGAGACAAGATGGGATGCAAGTTCAGCTTGTTAAGAAATCTGTAGAAGATTCCTTAGGTGGAGATGGGAGAAGCAGGTCTTTAGGATAGATATAAATGTTGTTATAGAAAAGACAAGGTAAAAACACTTTATCATAAATAGATCAACTGGTAGATGAAACTATATTTTTGCTTTCACATGGTTAACTCCTTCACTTGGAGCTGGGATGATAGCTCAGAAGTCAAGAGCTTGCTGTGCAAGTATCTGAACCTGAGTTAGATCCTCAGCACTTACAAAAAAAGCCAAGCACAGCTGTGAGTACCTGAAGGTTAAGCATTGGAGAAGCGCAGAAAAGAAGGCCCCTGGGCTCACAGGCCAGCCAGCCTTGCTGAATTGGTGAGCTCCAGGGCTCAGTGAAATATCCTGTCTCAAAAAATTGGAGGTGCTAGGATGGGTTGGTTACCTGGGAAGGATCTTCTTTTCTCAGAGGTGAAGGGAAGGGGACATGGAGGGGGGGAAGAACTGTGTTTATGGGGGGGTACTGAGAGAAGAGGGGGGTCGTCATTGGGATGTAAAGCAAATAAATAAACAAACAAATAAATATATAAATGGAAAAATAAGGTTGATAACACCCGAGAAAGAATGACATTTAAGGCTGAGTTAGTTTCTATGTAGCTAAATGTATATGACCCCTCTCTCTCTCTCTCTCTCTCTCTCTCTCTCTCTCTCTCTCACACACACACACACACACACACACACACACACACAGCTGTTTATTAAGAGCAATTATGATTTCAGTTTCAGTTAGCATGTACACTTTGTGGCTCAGACTGGAAAATCATCATGATTAAGGAAGAGTGACATGTAATCAAAGATATCTGTTGCTCTTGGAGAAAGACTTAGAGCATCCTCTTGCAGGACCCTTTGATTGTGGAGTTCACTGGTCTTTGTGGCAGGTTCCTTACTTGACCCTTTAACCCTGGGGTTCACTGGTCTCTGTGAGAGCTTCCTTACTTGTGTCTTGGAAGTTGACATCATTGCCATTGTACGCATTCTTCAGTTTGTTGGTCATCACGCGGAGAGCCATGATCTGCTGTCTGATGAAAGTGTCTGGCCGTGTGATGTCCACCTCCACCTCAGGATTGTTGATTTGGTTGGTCAGCCCATCGTTCATGATCTCAGGCAAGTATCTGTAGGACAGAGAGGAAGACATGGATCAGGGTGAATGTTGAGGTGACCTCAGAACCAAAAGCTGCCCTGCTGTCTCAGATGGGAAGCCAAATCACCGGTGTAAGAAAACGGTAGTTAATGAGCCAAACAATAAAAGCAAGTGTTCTGGGACAGAGTGCAGACAGAAGGGTCTCCTCTCATTGTTTAAGTGCACTGAGTTCTTATATAGGTTTATCTATAAATAAATGCTAAATGGTAGAGTAGGATCATCATTGTGCAGATTAACTACCTTTTCCCTTCTCCATCCAAAGAGTTTTGAAGCCCTAGTTGAGACTGTGATAGGTTCCTACTATGAAGATTCCTTTGGACATTAAAAATAGTCTTTGAGATGTTTTATGAGAAGTCAGTGGTGGCTTATGCTTTTGACAGGTCTATAATGGTTTTTGTTTTATATTTTGACAGTGCTTGGAATCGAACCAGGGTCTTGAGCGTGCTAGGCAAGTGCTCTACCATTGAGCTGCAGTCGTAACATAGGCTTTTAATTTTGTAATAGCAACTTGGGTCTAATTTTAGAGGTATGTCAACATTCAGTAAAAGAGGGTAACATTTAATAACACTTAATTTTTCTTGCTTAATATTTCTTTTGTGACTTAACATTTTGTCTAATGTTTCCCAGATGGTTTTATACAAAGGGAATAAAAACCCCATGAACATGTTCAGAGGGGTTGTGAGTACGCATGCTCATGACCTATCAACTCCACACTGATGTCAGGAAACTCTTCTCACATGGTTTTTTCTTGCCCTGTATTTCTCTCTAGAGTGTAGATGGTTATAGTAGCTCAAACAAATTTCCATAGGCACTCTGTTCTTCTCTAGTGCATCCTGCATGTGCTGTCTGGGTAACATTCCTAAACCATCACTCTCCCCCGTCTCTCCTCCATGTAAACGCTTTTTGATGTCAAAAGAACACTCTCTGTCAGGAACTATGCTGTGAAATTCCAACCCACCAGGCCATCTAACAGAGAGGTGTGCCTTTCCACCATTATATGAAGTAGAAAGCCAGATCCAAGAGATGGCAAGCAGATGTGAAGTCTCGTAAACGGCAAAACTGCGCTCTATGAGATGCTCAGTCAAGTCAGTTGGACCCAGGAGGGGGTGGGGATACTGTCCTTTACAGTCAGGTGTCACAAACAGTTAACCTGGGGTCTGCGACTGGCATCTGAAGTGTGTATATGTATGCTACTGTGTGAGTGTGTATATGTGTGTGTGAGTATGACTGTGTGTGTGTGTGATTATGTGTGTGAGTGTGTATGTGATACTGTGTGTGTGTGTGTGTGTGTGTGTGTGTGCAGTCTTGGGGACAGAACTTCAATGAATGTCAAAACTAAACTGATTTAGAGAACATTCAAGTGTCTACTGCAGCTATGATCACTAACTTGCTGGTGGCAAGAAAGTCCTGTCCACGTTGAGAGAAACCAGTATCGATTGTGCTATGAGAGTGGAGGAGGAAGCTAGGCACCTTCCCCTGGCACAGTGCTCTTTGGAGTTTGTTTATTTGGTTTTGTTATTGTTTTTATCTGGTCCATAAATGATTTAGATCTGAAATATATTTAGATAGGACCCTCATTTTCTCCTAAAACAGTTCCAGCGTTCAGGAATCCACCCACCCTTTTATGAGGCAGCTAGGCGTGGCTGGGCATTCTGGGTGCTGCACAAACCACACCTCCAGGTTGAGGAGCTAAGTTGGTACTGATACCTAGCCTCAGCTCTGTGGTCACCAGGCCATGCAAGCTGTGCCAACAGGGTTTCCTGTTGTCATGTTTTTTACTTAGGAATTTTCAAAATATACAGAAATAGAGTTATAATGAACTAATCTGAGTGCCCTTCTCTACTTCCTACAAAGGTGCTATCTATGTCTGTGACCTGGTAAGAAACAAGGGCACGGGGGAAACTGCAAGGTGGCAGCAACAGAAGGAACCCTTAGAGACAAAGGACAGGCATGTGACCAGAATGCACCACAGTGGAAGCGACAGCCAGACACCAGAGGACGCTGTGCCTACCATGTCCTGATAGGGAGGGAGGTAGTATTTATTGGCTGAGCCTAACTGGAAGCTGACTAACTGATGGGAAACTCAGAGATCTGGCTTGCAGAGTGGCTCTCCAAGGTCCAAGCCAGTGGCCAGGATGGAGGCACAGAGCAGCTCTTAGGGGATAGCAAAGGCTTTTTAAAGTAGTATTGTGTTCTGCTGGGTTTTTAGCTCAGGCTAGTCTCAAACTTGAGATTATCTTTCCTTTGACCTCTGATTGCTGTGATCACTGGTTTGTAGCACATGCCTTGCTTTGCGTGTGTTGTTACAAGTGCAGACTGTAGTTTACGACCCCTCAGGCTGGTGGCCCTAAGTCTGTGACTATTTATCTACTCCTCTTCCTGATGTTGGTGTCAAGCGGAGAAAGCTTCCTCTATTCACTCATCCTCACTTTCATAACTATGAACTGCTCTTATGCTTGTAATTCTTTCTCTTTCATAAAAGTTACTTTTCAAATGCCAGAAACCAAAGACTACAGCATCTGCAAGAAGAATCACACACAGTAGGAATGTCTACACACAATAAGAGTGACACTTGGGGTGGTAGGCAGAAATCAAGTACTATGCATGACATATTTGTACAGGAATTGGTTTACCTATTCAAGTCAGAGGTTTGCAAACTAAGCTATGTATTTCCATCCATATTTTGAACAAAATAGAAGCAAACCTCAGAGTGCATGGCAAATTCGTTTCTGTGAATCTTCAAGTTATTTCTGCCCCCAAAATAACCCTAAAAAGAAAACAATTAAATCCAAGTCCCTGTATATCTTTATTTTTGCAGTAAAGCATAAACTTCTACCATTCTTTTTAATATATCTGGAGTACAAGCAAATTCTTGCTGGCCTCTGAGGTTTTCCTCCCAATGTAACCTTTCACACATGGCAATAAACGGATTGCTACTGACACGGCACATGACTGCCAGATTCCTGGAGTTCGGTTATGATGATGGCCCACCAGAATACATGGCAAAGCACAAGCCATCAGCTGCTGACATGGTTTGAGGGGCTAAGGTGATGGCTGGGGCTCTTGGTTCTCTGTATTCTGGTCATTATTCCTGCAGCTGTGCCCAGGCTGAGTCAGAGGAGCTCCATCTCTCGTGCAGGGCATGGGCACTGCTAAGCTAGCCAGGTCTCATTTATCAGCATCTTGCTGCAATAGCTTACGCAGGAATGCTGCCCCTGGGAGTCTGAACATCCAGCATCAATAAGAGACTGCCAAGCAAACCCAGCATCTCGCTGTGCTTGGTGATGCTTAGCCACTTACAATCAAAACAAGGAGCAGTGCACTTGTGCCCCCCAGAATGTTTTCTCCTCTTGGTGTTTTCCAAGGGTGACTTCGGAAATTTAAACATAAAACAGTTGGGAAATAAAACAGCTATTTCTGCCACTGTAGACACAGATGCTGACTCGGTATCTGGAGAAGACCACTGTGTAGTTGGATGGGGATGTGAAAGGGGGTGGAACAGGATGTGAAGAAATCTCAAATTCTGCAAGAACAGACCAATCATTGATCCCAGGGGCCTTTCCTTTGTCCAGCTTTAGTGTAAGTCATTTGAGTGGCAGCGACTCATATCTCTGGGGACATAGATAAGAGTGTTGGCACCCACCGCCCAGGTTGCAAGGCTGGGTGCATGTGCACTGGGAGCAGGGAAAACTCAGATTTGAGGACAACTTGGAGTGCCAAATAGGGGTGTCATCTCTGCCAATTATTCATGCTGTGGTGGGACAAGTGGGTGGTCCCCGGGGACAGCCAGCCGTAGGTGCACTTTGTTTGGCTTCTGTTTGCAAGAGCATGGCCAGGAGCTAAACTTGGACAGTTGCGCAGAATTATTTTTCTAATTTCATGTTAATGTAAGGGTTTCTTGATTACAACCAAGCATAGCTTATGAGGGTGGAAGAGTCCCAGGAGAAGCTAGGGAGCACTGAAGGAGAACACATTCTACTTTGTGGGAGGGTGGGGGCTACACACTGTGTGCCAGGGAACTCACTGGCGCACTTGAAGGCTTCTGTAGCCTGAGACATTAACATACTTCTCCTTATAGACGTTTCCTAGTGGCTAACCACTGTGCCTGCCATCCACTCCTCATGGTTGAGTTGGGGTTTTCAGAAAGACCTGGGTGCTCTGTAAAAGTGCTTGCTGGGGGTGGGGAGAAGCATGTCAGCCTATGGGCATGTTCTATTGCTTACCAGCACACCCATGCTAGCTCTCATGTGAGTAGCTACATAGGTGAGGAAGGGCACCGAGTTTGGGATTTACTAGCTACTAAGAGTCTTAGCAGGGAGGGGCCAGGAAGACAGCAGAGAGGTCGCTAGAAATCACTGTGGGAGCCTTGTCAGGCACTATGACAAACTACCCAAGAAAACCGAGTACAAGAAAGGTAGGTTGCTCTTGGATTTCTGTTGGAGAGATTCCTATCCAGGCTTAGCTGTTGCTTTGGGTCTGAGGTGAAGAGGAGGCAGAAGACTATGAAGGGGGTGCGTGGCTCTCCTCATGGTAGCCAGGATGTAAGAGCTAACAGAAGGTGACTGTGGACAGGCTATGTCTCCTGTGTCTCCTGAGTCAGTCAGAGACCCCCCCCCCCATCCAATCAGTTCTGCGAGCTTCGATCTTGAGCGTTGTGTGCTTCTAACAGTAAGACTTTTGGGTGAGGTGAGGATTGATATTGAGGCAAACAATGAAGCTGAGTCAGAATTGGGGTACCCAAGCGCCTGCTACCCCTGACTGATGCTACCCTGGGCACAGTTGGAGAAGGGAGATAAAGCCGACTTCACTCCCTTGTTTCCATAAATGAGCTCGGTGGGATGCACATCTCCATAGAAACTTCTAGTGTGAGCTACGCGCTCCTTCATTTTCAGAGTGTTCAGAAGCCTTCCTGAGGTAGGAAGACACGTTGTGTGTACAGACCCAGGATTAATGTGCAGTTCCAAGTTTTGA